CTTTCTTTGCACATAGGCATGAGGTTCTATAAGCTGAATTTACCTATTTACCAAAAAAATTACTGAGTACAGCTATGCCTCAAGCACTTTGCCTTTCATTTGGAATATACAGTAAAATAAAACACAGTCCCTGTGCTCATACAGCCTGTGAGCCTAGTGGGAGAGACAGATGTTTGGACAACTAATTACAATTCTTACGATTCACTATGCTGTGTGCAGAATCAGGGTTCTTCCTTTATGGATGCGTGTTGTTGACGGCACAAGCTGGCCAGTACCTGTTTCATCCATTTACCAAATGCATAAAGGGCATGCGTTTTATGTCAGGTATTTGGTTAGACCATAAGAACACAGAGACAAATAGAATAAGGGCTCCATTTTTGCAGCTCAAGGTCTTTTTTGAGGCTTGGATGAGTCTTGGTCACATGGCACATGAATCTCTGAATGCAAAATTTCTAATAGTGGCTTGGGTTATGAATGTGAAAGGAATAGATTTAGTATAGTTTTCAGATCTTGCCCAAAGATGCAATGTGATTTATACAACTCACAGGAGAATGTAATGGTTAAGATCACAAACTCTGTAGTCAGATGTCTTTGTACCAGGCCTGGCCCTGACCTTTACTGATGTGTGACCTTAGGCACGTTATATAACCTCTCTGTGCCTCAGTATCTTCATCTATAAAATGAAGACAATAATAGCACCTACTTCACAGCATTGTTGTGAGTGTCAAGTGAATTCATTTATATCAAGTGCTTAGAACAATGCCTGGCCTAAAGAAAGTTCTCAGTAAATGGTAGCTATTGTTATTAGTATCAAATTATGCTTGCATAAAGTTTCCCATTATATAATGCCTCTCCAGTGGAGCAGGGAAGATGCCAAAAGCATTATTAGAGCCTTATTCAGACATGGTATTCACTGGTATTCTTTTCCTTTCCCAATCCCAAAGTGTGTGTGAAATTGGCTGTTAAATTTTGCACTCGTTTGAATATTGGCTTCTTACAAAAGGATTGAGCTCTGAATTCTAGTTTGGTTTTCTCTGAATCTTCTATATCCTGAGACTCTTTAGTTAACCTCTACCAGCCTCAGTTTCCTAAAATGGAGATAAAACAGCTGACCTTCCTGTGAAACCCAAAGAATACTAGACAGGAAGGTATATCCACCTGCTTCTGAGTCCATGTTCAGTCTCTGCTTCTTCCTGCTAGGGAGGCAGAGGTGCAGAAAGAGTCCAGGAGGCCTCATGTGGGTGATGGCCTTTCAGGCCCCGTGTAGGAAGGGTCCATGCTCATTTGCCCTATCTCAGTTCCTTGAACTAGAATTTTTCACAAGAGACTGAAGAGGCTCAAAACAAAAAAATACGTATTTATTTGCAAATAATGTATTTTCTCCTATAAATTAAATGTTACCCAGATTACTAAATAGTTAAATTAACCATTATGACCAGTTACCAGCAAGCTGCCAATCACTCCTCAACAAGTCAGGGTCTCAGCCTTGTTCCTGTGACTTCTTGACCTTGAGTTTCCTTTCTTTTTTCTCCACAAATTTGTTCTAGGATACTTCTTGTCTCCCTCTGGGTTCATCCAGTATGCAGATTTTGCTCTCCTAATTGCCTGTCTTCAGACATTCACTTTCCTTTTACCTGTATGCTTTCTTACCCGTCTTGTCACCGGCCTTCCCCTCGTCCCTCTCCAGCCCCTGCATGCCCTGTGCGTTGCCTTCTTGGTTTAGCTTTGCTTTGCTGCCTTTGATTCCCTTTGCCTCCTCGTTTCCTTCTGGTCTGCTCTGTGAGTCTAGGCTTGATCCCTATGACACAGCTTATTTTCCAGCCTTCTCTGAGGTCCTCCTTGGCACAAAGGTTGTCTCTTCAGTGGTCATTTGTCCTCCAAGGACAAGACGCTTGTCACTGGTTTCACAGCTAAACCATGCTCTGGCAACCAAGTCCTCGGGTGACTTTTGTTTGCTGTACTCTTTTGTCTTAACAGGGTGGGGTTATTCTTTGGGATGGAATAAACTAGCTTCCTAGATTTAGTTTCCTAAGTAAACCCTTACCAAACCAAAGCACATACTTTATCTGAGATGCCCATGACAGCCTTACAATGACTCCCTGAAAAAGGCTGACAGAAATCAAAGGATCCAGGCAGGCTGGAAGCAGCAAGAGCATAAAACCCTCCATACTTATAATCCTTTCTTATCCATTCTGTATGGTTTATAAAACACATTTTGGATACAAAAAGGGATATATGAGTACAGTTGTTTTGTCCATAGAACCGTATTTCTTTTTAAGAGTGCAGCTGGGGTAAGAGAAAGAAACAGAGGTAGAGAAAATATCTGAAAGGAAAAATTCAAGCATCCTCCATTTGACTTTTGCTAAAAAAAAAAAAAAAATAGAATTTCTCAGCTTTGGAGAAAGTACTAAGTGTTTTGACTTTACATACTTTCAAATAAAAGAAATATATACATACTCCATAATGATCTAAGCCTAGTATTAATCAAAGAAAGCACTTGAATTATAATAAAACCTAATAATGTATTGAGCAAGTATTATGTACCTGGTACTTTCCCAAAATCGATTTATCTATTTATATAGTAATCTAATTTAATATTCTCAGCGATTGGAATAAGGGTTAGGGATCTTTATTATTTTTACTTTCAGATGAGGCAACTGAGGCACAAAGAGGTAAATTAAACACACTTAAGAGGACAATGATCATGGATGATGCAGCAAAGATTCGAATCCAAGCATTTGGTTTCCAGAACGTGTCTTTTTAACTCTCTGAAAGGGCTGGCAGTATTCCTAGGCTTACCCTTTCTTATATAAGCTTGCATTGTACTTAAAAGACTGCTGCCACTCTAGCTGTAAATTAAAGTCCTCTCAACTGGCCTTAGCTAGGCAGTAAGGCTCATGGGTGTTCAGTCTGCAGAGATCTGACACTGTGCCAGCAGGCAGAGCTAGTCTGCTCAGCTTTGCTTACTTAAAGTTGAAGAAGGGGCTGATTGGGCTGGCTTATGTTATTTTTATTTTGTCTTATCACGTTGGGGTACCCTGTCCCACAGTGTGATGCTGTGATGTGGGAACAGACAACCAGGCCCAAGGTCCCCATGCTGAACATACCATCCATCTTCAAGACGTTGTGAAGAAGGAGTGACTCTGTGATCGGGAGAGACTCCTCTTTGGGTCCTGCGATTGCCGTCCAATCCAAAGACAACTGTAGACAGCTATCGTGTATTTGATGCAAATGTGAATCACAGTCTGTCAGGCCTTCTTTGAGTGTGATTGACATATTTACTGTTGACAACGCAAGGTGACTCCTGCCATCCTCTTAGGTATGTGGTCTTTTGCCTGAAGACAACATTCAGGCTGAGAAAGGAATGTGGGATTGTTTTCCAGATGCACATCTGCCTGGGTATTTTTTTTAAACCCTCTTGAGAATTCTCCAGGCTTCTCTTGACTGACAGCTAGCACTGAAGTCTTGTCATCTAAACATGTAAATTTTCTGGCACCTGCATATGCATTGTTTATCAGAAGAGCTTTAAGATCTTGAGTGAGATGGCTCTTTATATCTGTTGGCTCCTTATGCCACTGTGTGTGTGTGTTTTGTTGTTGTAAGTTTGGGTTCCTTGACTGATGGGTGTTCTCTGACTGGAACTGATGAGAAGGGCACCAACTAGAAGTCACATTCCTGAAGTGATGGTAACAAAGGCTCCTCTGGAAAAGTTTTTTTCCTATTTTGGCAAAGCCCAATATTCTGGCCAATCTAGAAGTTTCCAACGTTGTATTCTTCAAGACATTTGGCTTGCAGAATGTTAAGAGGTGTAAAACAAACAATCTCCATAGTCAAATAAGTCTGGAGTGTTCTTTTGACTGCAATGTCTCACTCTTGAAGTTTCTTGGTGTGTAATAAGTGTTTTGAGAAGCTCTTCAGCCAGGATGCTTGAATAACTTTAGCCACATCACCTCAACTAATTAGTTATGAGATACTTTCCAACAGCTCCTATTCATATCTGTTAATACCTATTGTGGTTATAAAGCTGATTATACAAATTGGGTCACTTTGTCATATCTAACTAAATCAGACTTGAAGGGCTGTGGGAAAAGCAGTTGGGCAAATGGCACCAGCTCCAAAACTTTTTCCATAAGCCCAACTTCTATAACCCTAAAATCAGCTTTACCTAGTGACTCAAAGACTGTTCAGAGTGTTCCTGCCAATGATATCTTCTCTGATGAGCCCGCCATAGAGAACTTCTGCCTCCTGCCCATGCTACTTATTGGCTCCCTGACTACACTAAATTCTACCATTGTGATGGGTAATTATTGAAGTGACCTTGAAACACATAAGATTGAGTGGCTTGAGGCCTGTAATCCTAGCACTTTGGGAGGCCAAGACGAGTGGATTGCTTGAGGCCAGGAGTTCAAAACCAGCCTAGCCAACATGGTGAAACTCCGTCTCTACTAAAAACACACACAAAAAATTAGCTGGGCCTGGTGGTGGGTGCCTGTAATCCCAGGTACTCAGGAGACTGAGGCAGGAGATCACCTGAACCCGAGAGATGGAGGTTGCCGTGAGCTGAGACTGCATCACTGCACTCCAGCCTGGGCAACAAGAGTGAAACTCTGTCTTAATAAAGAAAAGAAAAGAAAGATACAAAATCCAGCCTCCCCTGTGTTTTAATGGTTGCAAACCACAGTGGATATTTTAAGTTACTTTTTTACATGCATCAATCACTTCACAACTGTATTTTTGTCCATATGCGGAATTACTAGGTAAATGGCTATGGATTTTATGAAGAATTTTGAAAACTATTACCCAAATTACCTTTCATAAAAGTTTTATCAATTTATGCTTAACTGGCTGTGTTTGAAAGTGACCCTCAGTGGATGGAGTGTACCCTTACCTACATTACAGTTACTATTATTTTACACTCATTATGTGATAGTTCCTGAGAATAAGAGAGGAACAAATAGGCCCTTAACACACACTAGAAACTTCAACCTTCCAACCCTCAGGTAACTCTGGGACTTTCAGATCTATGGAACTGTTGCAATGACAGGATGTCATCAGCTGGCTTGAAAATAACCCAGTGCAGCATCCAAGAGCTTCTGGCACTTCCAGAAAACTGTTCTCCTGGCCAATTCCTGCCTCCACACTTTAACCACGTCTGCACGGGACAGCTTGACAATAGCCTGGTATGTACACACGCAATCACCTCACCTCGCAAATCCAGGGCATATTATCATAAGAAAGGCATAGCCAACAGCCAGATCTGTCTGATCCTTTCATGGAAATGGGTATTGCATTTGTCACAGTCAGGCAAGTCTTACTCCTAAAACAGGACTGGGAAGAAGGTTTGAACAGATTCCGGTATCCTGTGGATCCTAGATAGTATTAGACATCCTGGTATCCCCCAGACCCTGTCATGCCAACACTAAATTAAATAACAAGAATAATAGTTAACATTTATTGAGGCCATACCATACCCCTAGCCTATGCTAGCACGTTATATGCATTACTGAGCAGCCTGAAGGTTTCTGCTAAAGTATAAATTATGTCACCCTTTTCCTGAAACTCTTCACTAGCTGCCTGTCTCACTGAAAATAACAGGCGAGTCCTTATTCTGAATGTCAAAAGATCTACATGGTCTTTATCTTCACCAGCCCTAACCCCAACCCCACCGTAACCTATATGAACTCATCTCTTACCCTGCTCCATCCACACTCCAGCCCCAGGATCTTTGCATGTGTTTCTTCCTTTGCCTGGAATGTTTTGACAACAATATCTAAGGTTACACACCCAAAAGTCTTTACTCACAAGTGACTTTCTCAGTGAGGTCTTCTCTGGCCAATCTATCCATCGGTTTTCACTCTTCCTTTCCTGATTTATTTTTTCTTCATAGCACTGATCATGATCATGAAGCTTAATTTATCTAGTGTCCCATCTGTCTCCTCCATTAGAATATAACCCCACTAAGTCTGCCTTTTCTCATCACAGACATATTATCAATACTTGGAGGAGTGCCTGGAAAATAATAGGTGCTCAATACATACTTGTGCATAAATGAATAAACTCACCTAACTTGCATCAGACCCAGGAGGAAGAAGCTACTGTTTTCTTTATTTTTCAGATGAGGCAACTTAAGCTTGGGAGGGATCAAATAATCTTCCCAGGAAGCAAGGAGGCTAGGCTTTGAGCCCCTGCTCCTGGCTACTCTGCTCTATCCCTCTGAGAGGGCTCTGAGATAACAAACCCTCTGTGCACACGTAGTGAGGTTCAGCCTTTGTAGCCAAACATCTAAGGCCATTGCAAGCTGGCGACAACCTAACTTTCCAAACAAAGCGCCCACCCTCAGCTATCACACACCCTGACCATACCCACACAGACAATGACGTTGCCACCTCTGTAATTTTGCTTATACTGTTTCTCTCCTTTTGATGTGTTCAGATCTTTCCTATATTTTCTTTCTTTCTTTCTTTCTTTCTTTCTTTCTTTCTTTCTTTCTTTCTTTCTTTCTTTCTCTCTCTCTCTCTCTCTCTTTCTTTCTTTCTCTCTCTCTTTCTTTCTTTCATTTTTTTTTGAGACGGAGTCTCGCTCTGTCACCCAGGCTGGAATGCAGTGGTGCGATCTCAGCTCACTGCAACCTCTGCCTCTTGGGTTCAAGTGCTTCTCCTGTCTCAGCTTTCCAAAGAGCTGAGATTACAGGCACCCACCATCACTCTTGGTTGGTTTTGTATTTTTAGTAGAGATAGGGTTTCATCAAGTTGGCCAGGCTGGTCTTGAACTCTTAACCTCAAGTGATCCTGCCTTGCCTCTCAAAGTGCTGGGATTACAGGCATGAGCCACTGTGCCTGGCCCCTTTCTTTATTTCTAAGCTCAAGTCAAATGCCACATCTCCATGAAGCCCCCTTCATTGTCCTTACTTCTGCTGTTCATGATAGTTGTAAACAAGGATCATCCTTTCTAGAATTCTTAAGGTGCAGGCCATGTCTGTTTGACTTTGCTCTTTTTCACAATGCTGTGTAGAGGATAAAAAAAAAAAAAAAAAAAAAAACAGAAAAAATTGCCTAATGAACACATAAATGCGACTTAATATAATGGAGTGACTTATTTCCAACTGAAGAGTATTTCATAATGTGGACATCTTAGTAATCAGTGATAATAGGGTTTGATACTGAACACAAAGCTACATTTAGGAAAGGGAAGGATTAAAATGTATGTTTGTAACATGGAAACCACCAGTCCACTCAATCAGACAATTTAGAAAATCAATCAAACCAGGTGTTTGGTTGTTTGACATTTGTAGACAAAACAACAAGTAGACTGAATTTCTTCTGATATATATATATTGCTGTTATATAAAATGCTCTTAGACATTTCAGGTGCTCTATAGACATTATTTCAGAAATACACAACCACTTGACAGTTTGAGATGGGGGTGAGGAGCAAATGTTTAAAGAAGATACACATCTAATGATATTTCATGTACTAGCAAATTAGAATGTGGTCTCAGTTAAGTGTATATCTTTAGTTCTCACGGGACAGCAGAATTCAATATATTGGGTAAGGAGAAATAATTGGGAGGCCCACACTTCCTGGTGACTCTCTTTGTAACCTGGGGCAATTGCCTTATTGCATAAGCTTTGTGATCTCATTGGTCAAATGAGGGTGCTAACATCCTCATTCAATGGCACAGGCATCTTTTTAGAACATAAGTAATTTTACATATATATATATCTATGTATAAAACACATAGAAAACATTTTAAGTTTTTAGCAGCAAAAATATCTAAAGAATCCAAATGTGGTATTTTTCCCTCTGAGGTATTGCTTGGCACCTCTAATTAATTAATTTAATTAAGTGATATGATGACTCTCCTGGGTGAGGCACTTGAGACTGGGAAATGCGTGGAGAGCAGCATAGGAGCTTTAATTCCACATCTCCCAAGTTGTTTCCTCTTGTCCTTCAGTGCCTTCCTTTTCCTGCCTTCCCAACTTTGTCCTGTTGCCTCCTTGATTCTCTCTGTCAAAGCCAGGGTCACTGATTAGGGAGGATAGCAAATGGGGGGTGGAGGAGATGCTAGTTTGGCTGGGAGGTAGGGAGCACCTAACTTAGACTTAGCCTTCCAGGAAGCCCACCCCAAATCCTGCCTAGGTGACATATAAAATCAGTGATATGAAATCTGATAAAGTCTATTACTATTTGCACTTCACTATTAACATATTGTCTAATCAAGATGTACTTTTAAAAATGTCTTAGCAAAATCCTGGACTTTAGACTAGAAAACCATGACCAGTCATTTTCACATCCTGATACACTTCTGATTAAAGCCAAGGGAATTAATTAAACAAATGGAATCTTAAGCATAAACACAGACACACCATTAATACATATTAAAAATTGTCTTTCCTCAGCTCTGGACAAAAAGAAAGGTCCAATGTTTGTCTCTGAAGCTAGAGCCATACTTAGTTCCCCAGACTGCTGACTTTTTAAGAGAGGTCTATGAAGAATGGTTTCTATAGACAAACTGATTCCTTAACTACTGAATGAAAGACAGTTAAACAGGTTTTTTTGTTTTGTTTTGTTTTCACTTAAAAAAATGTTTTATTTCCATAGGTTTATGGGGGAACAAGTGGTGTTTGGTTACATGAATAAGTTCTTTAGTGATGACATGAGAATTTGGTGCACCTATCACCCAAGCAGTATATACTGTACCCAATTTGTAGTCTTTTATCCCTCACCCCACTCCTACCCTTTCCCCTGAGTTCCCAAAGTCCTTTATATTATCCATATGCCTTTGCACCCTCATAGCTTAGCTTCCACTTATGAGTGACAACATATGATGTTTGGTTTTCCATTCCTGAGTTACTTCACTTGGAATAATGGTCTGCAATTCCATCCAGGTTCCTACGAATGTAATTATTTCATTTCTTTTTAATGGCTGAGTGCTATTCCATGGTATCTATGCCACAATTTATTTATTTACTTATTTTTATAATTAGTGAAATACACATTTTTAAAAAAAAATTTATTTATTTTAAGTTCTGGGGTACATGTGCAGGATGTGCAAGTTTGTTGCATAGAGAACTCAGAAATAAGACCACATATCTACAACCAGCTGTTCGTAAACAAACCTGACAAAAACAAGCAAGGGGGAAAGCTTTCCCTATTTAATACTGGTACTTGGAGAACTGATTAGGCAGATTCAGAAAATTGAAACTGGACCCCTTCTTTACACCTCATACAAAAATTAACTCAAGATGGATTAAATATTTACATGTAAAACCCCAAATGATAAAAACCCTAGAAGAAAATATTCCGTTTTCTACACAACTTCTCAGAGCCTTTTGCATGCAATGTCATGCACTGTGACGCTCAGAGGGAAGAATGTTACATCTGACGTTTCCCAAACTTGTTTGACCAAGGAGTACCTTCCTTTTTTTTCCTAAGGGGACGTAAAACTAATTTTCTGTGGAACACATTTTGTAAAACTAAAGAGAAATATACATTAATGTGGATTACTTCCGTGTGAGAAACATGCACATTAAACATGACTTTTGTATGCGAGTAAATCTATGAATAAAAGCTTAAATTTACCCAAGATCTTTGGAGACAGATGTAGAATGTGAGCCAAGAGAAAGCCAAGTGAAGAAATCCTGATTTTTCTTACCCACTGCAAGAGAGAAGATAGGCTATCATGTTCAATTTGTTAATTGGAGTGTAATTAATGTAAAGTTGGAAAGATCTGACCATGATAAAGAGAAGACATTTGTACTGTTTATACAAGATAGGGATGAAATTAAGCCTTTCAGTTTTCATCTTTCTGGCAGAAATTGTTTAACTACCACTCACTTTCTGTTGAAATTCAACTTCATGACAGCTAAAGGACATACAATTTCAGTGTCTACTTAGATACAGTTGTTGTTGAGGCAGGTGCCATATGGGCATCTTTTTGTGTGTGCCTCTAGTTGCAAATGGTGACAGTGACTGGTCAGGATGACTGCTCTGAGTGGCTGCCAGCTCCTCCATGACAGCTCAGCTGAGTGGGAGATAAGCTCTGATTTGCAGCCCCTCCATTCCTAAACCAGTGATTTTATACCTTTAAATTCCCTATGAATAACTGAACTACTTAAACAGTCTTTTTTTAATATAGGTTCATTTATTTGCTTAATGGCTTAGGCTGCATTCTTTGCAA